ATAATGAAAATACGAAGCGGGTCGTCGGGACATAGTGAGTGCTCTTTATTATATTAAAATTTGCATAAATGTTAAGCTAAGACAAAGAAAACTCTTCATGGTAAAAATATCAACAACGGACACATGGCTCCTGAATATGCACTTAGAGGCATATTTTCTGTCAAGTCTGACGTGTACAGCTTTGGTATCTTGACTTTGGAGGTTTTAAGTGGTCAGAAGATAAGCTCTTCCAATCAACTATTGGATTTTGAAAACCTTACTGTCTATGTGAGTATAGTTTTATAAATTAGCAAACAACAAACATCAAAGTTTTTAAAATCCCACAACCTCACTTAACTATTGATTTGAATTATTTAGGCATGGAATCTGTTGAAGGAAGGGAGAGCAAATGATTTGGTAGACTCAAGTATTGTCGAGAGCTGTACACCAGATGAAGCTTTGCTTTGCATCCATATCGGACTCTTGTGTGTGCAGGACAACCCCAACGATAAGCCACTCGTGTCATCTATTTTGTTCATGTTGGAGAATCGAAGCATCACACTTCCCATTCCAAATGAACCTGCATATTTTCCACATACAAATAATCAAGCAGAACAAAGAAGGGGAAATACTCAAAACTCAAAGAACAGTGTAACTCTTACAGATATAGAGGGAAGGTAAGCTAAATCAATTTCAAATTTCCAAATATAATAGTCATTATCTGAAGGCACACACTTTTAGTGGAGGTGCATAATAATGTAAGGGAGACACATAACCATTTGTTGGGAGGTAAACCATTTCTTCTAGCTTCTTTTTCTATATTTTGTACCTAATTTCTATATTGTGACAACAATTGGGTATTTGAAACTACTCATATTGAGTTAATGAGTGGAAGTCCGATGGAAAATACATTACTTAGTGAAAATATAGGAGGGGTCTTAGCCCACAAAGATTCTAATTGGTCGACCTAGAGTTAGTTCTACTTCACCCCAACTTCTAAGCCTAACATACTAGTTGAACAAACAAAGCACAATCATGAAGAGCTATTTAACAAGCACAAGCACTAAGTAAGAGCAATAAAGCATAAAGCAAGACTTGAAAGTAAATAAAGCACAGGCACTAAGTAAGATCTCCGGCGAGACCCTACCGCGCCCGCAGCGGCCTCCTCCTTCCCCTCCCCACCCCCAACTCCCGCCACTGCCGCCATGGCCATGCTCGCCGGCGAGCACTGCCGCAACACCCCCGCCCCGACATGGCTCGGTCGCCTCCACCGCCGCCAAGGCCCCTAGCCGTTCGGCCACCATCCCACCGCTTGGTAGGTCTGCCTCCCCCGAGCCCCTTCCTTCTAAGCCTGCCAGAGTTGGAGATGAGAAAGGGAGAGAGGTGCAAGAGATAGAGACGAGGAAGGGAGAGAGCTGCCGGAACCCTAACGGTGGCGAACTTGAGCTCGGGTGAGGGCGCGGTCGCCGGCGGGAGGAAGATGGCCGGGGAGAGGAAGGGAGCGTTAGAACGGAGACTCGGGTGCGAATGTTTTGACCCGATGATTTCTGGATGATGGCGACCACGAGACTAGTTGACGACGGCAGGGTAGTCAGCACGTTCAGGTACCCGTACGAGAGGGATTGGTCAACTTACATATCTAATATGAAGTATTTCTAGCTCAAGTGCTGAACAAAGACAAGTCCATGTGCGTACGTGTTTTCAGAAGGAATTCAGAGGGTATGATTCTACGTAGAAGCACAAACTCTGAGCACGCATGTACTCTGCTAAATATAGCAGCCTCGGCTTATTTTTCTTTTCTCTCTTTTTGATTGATTCACCCTTACACAGTTTTATAAGCCATTCGTGGAACAGTTGTGTGTGCCGTCAGGTTTTTTTTTGGCAAGGAAAAGAGAGCCTTTATATATATGACTCACCGACGTGATAACAATGAGGAACAATAATAGGCTCAATGCAAGCCGGCTCTGAGAACCACCAAATGGTCAAATGTTTTTCTAATCAAATAGCATGCTTTTGGTCTCGATCGCTTCATGCCTTCATGAATAATAAACCTTAGTCTAGAGTAGTGTTTTCCATCTCGACGACGAAGCATCTAGGCTATAGTACTACATATACAAACTACCTCAAAGTGCTGACAATTGTCGGCACCACTTAGCAGCAAAGAGATGACCTGCCTAGTCGCCAAAGCTTCCACCTCTTCAGCATCCCAAGGGTGCCTCTCGTAGAACCAAGACGTGAGCAAGTCCTGACCAGAGGCGTCTCTGATGATGACATTAAGGTCACCATCACAAGTGCTGCGGTCAAATGGACCATCAACATTGACCTTCAACCAGCCCTTTTTCGGGCCATTCCATAGGCATGGCGTTCTTGCTTTGCGCTCTTTTATACCTTCACATAAGGAATCCCTTACAGGTCGCTTACCGTGAGGATCAGCCAAATTTTTGTTATGCCTGACATAACACGGCTCCTATTCGGTGGGATTGGCGTACGGAGCCCAATTCATAGGATGTACAAAGCACCTGGGTGACAGGATCGGAACAGTACCTGGCGAGGAAAACTAAGAATTCTATATGATATACTCCCTCCCTTACATATTATAAGTCGCTTTGATTTTTTTTCATCCATTTTGCATTGCTAGACATATTATTGTATTTAGATGCATATCAAAATAAATATATGAAAAAAAATTCCAAGCAACTTATAATTTACAACGAATGAAGTACATCCGAGTTGCTTCATTTTTGAAATGTAAGTCAACCAATCCATCTCGTCCGTGTTATTACAGTGAAATCCCTCGCCTGTACCGATACACTCGACACACGGGCGAGGCGAGCTGCTCTCGAGGTCAATGCGGATCTCCTGGCCGGCGAGCCTGCCGATCACGCAGCCGCTCCTCGGGCAGAAGGCATTCAGGAGTAGACATGTGTATTCGAAGTAGTCATGCCGCTAATTTGGCAGCAGCTTCTGCACCTGCACGTCGACTGTTTTCTGCAGACTCCACTGGTCATCGCCCATGAGCACCCAGAAGCCCGTCTTCAGCTCCACAGAACGCTTGACTGGCCCCCACGCTCGTGCGCCGTCGTCACCTTCGCCGGAAGCGAAGGAGAATACCTGGTATGTAATCCTGTTCTCCTCGGTGCACATCATGCCCGTCCCGACAACGGCGAGTATCCGCACCGCCCCTGCCAGGTGGTCGTTGTTGGCGTTTCCCGTGCCGCCGGACGGGGAAAGATCACCGTAGCCGGTGAGCAAGACGTACGTGCAGCTCCTGATCGTGGCGTCGGGGAGGATCTTGCAGCCCCCGGTCATGGGGTTGCACAGCAGGCAGAGACCGCTCCGCCACCGCCTTCCTCCGAGCAGGATGGAGCCGTCACGCGACGACAACAGGTCGGTGTACATCTCTCGATGGAAGCCGCCGGTGGCTGGCATTAAGGATTGGATTCTACTCTCGCTGCCGGCGGCGGTCGATGGGAGCGCCGCGGATTGGAACGGCCCCGGCGTGCGCCGCAGGTACACGTGCTGGTGGTTGTAGTTACCGTAGCCGTGGAAGACGCCGAGAAGCAGGCTGGGAACGAAGCGATCCGGCCGAGGCCGGAGGAACGAGGCGTTGCCGATGATGGCGCGCCGCCATGACCTGCGATGCCCACGCGCCCACGGCGGTAGTTCGTCCGTCGTCCATCGCGCGTGCTGGGCAAGCAATCAAAAGTTCAAAACTAACTCACCTATTTTTGCGGTACACATGCCTACATGGACGGACGAGTGGGGATCTGCGCATCCATCAATTAACGATAAAAAAGGAAGGATATGATATGGGTGGAGATTTGTTGGGGAATAAATTGCCTGATTATACTCCAACAACCTTAAAACCTCGGCGAAAATGGGCACCAGAGGAGGAAGAGGAGAAAGGGGGCGGGGAAGCTGGAGGGCGATGTCGACCGCGGCGGCGTTTCCCCATTACGCGCCGCCACCGCTGGCTGGCGGCTCCATGTTCCCAGACGACGAGCCGTTGGACCCTCAGATCCCCGGGCTCCGAAGGCTGAGGCGACCAATAATGCCGGCGGCGGCGCTCTGGTCCTCACCACGCAGTGCGAGTTCCCGGCGCTCGGGAGGAGCGCGTCGCGGGACAAGTTCTCGGTGCTGGTGCACGCCAGGGCGCCGGCCGACGTCAGCGGCAGCATGGAGGGCGAGAAGCTGGAGCTCCTAAAACAGGCCATGTGCTTCGTCATCGACCAACTGGGCCCCGCCGACCGCCTCTCCGTGGTGACCTTCACGGGGTACGCGGTCCGCCGGATCCGTCTGTCGCGCATGACGGACGCCGGGAAGGCCTCGGCGAAGCTCGACGTGCTGTCCCTTGTCCCCGAGTGGGCGGGCACCAACATCGGCGAGGGCCTCCGCGTGGGCGCCGAGGTGCTCGTCTGCCGCCGGCAGAAGAACGCCGTCTCCAGCATGATCCTTCTCTCCGACGGGGAGGACACGTTCCTCAGCGCCTTGTTACCCATTGGCGCTAAGAGGTACATGGACCTCGTGCCGCCGGTGTTCGCGCACCCCGGCAGCCGGCCCGGGCCGATCCACACGTTCGGGTTCGGCGCCAAGCACGACTGGGCCGCCTTGCACACCACCGCGGAGGCGACGGGAGGCACCTTCTCGTTCGTCGAGAGCCACGCGGCGATCCAGGACTCGTTCGCGCAGTGCATCGGCGGCCTCCTCTCGGTCGCCGTGCAGCAGGCGCGCATCGCCGTCACGTGCCTGCACCGGGGCCTGCGCGTCCAGGAGGTCAAGTCGGGAAGCTACGGCAACAGCGTCGGCGCCGACGGCCGCGCCGCCTCCATCGACGTCGGCGAGCTCTACGACGACGAAGAGAGGCGGTTCATGGTGCTGTGTACGTGCCGAGAGCCCGAGCCACGGAGGAGCTCACCCGCCTGCTCAAGGTGAGCTGCACCTACCGGGACGCCGCGGCGGGGAACGAGGCCCACGTCGCCGCGCCCGCCGCGGTGATCCAGAGGCCGCTGGAGCTGACGTACATGCCTCCTCCGTCCATAGCTGTGGATCGGGAGCGCGTCCGCCTCGCGGCGACCGAAGGCATCGCCGCCGCACGAGCAGCCGCTGACGGCGGGCAGCACTCCGGCGCCGCGCGGATCCTGGAGTCCAAGCTGAATGCCGTGGAGCAGTCGGCGCCGGGGGCGGCAGGCGACCCTGCATTAGAGGCGCTCAAGGAGGAGCTGCGCGACCTCAGCTTAAGCGTGGGCGACCGGAGGAAGTACGAGCAGACGGGGCGCGCGCGCCTTCTGGCCGGCATGAGCTCGCACGCGCAGCAGCGCGCCTCGGCGATGGGGATGGACGTGCAGTCGACGAGCAAGGCTAGGGCGTACTTGACTCCGAAGATGGAGGAAATGGGGGAGATGTCGCGTGGGAAGAAGCGTGGCAATGGCAACAACCAGCAGGCAGACGGCACATCGAGGCAGGCTAAGCAGGTCAAGGTAGAGATCTTTACAATAAAGGACTAGTATGTTCGCAGATGAAACAAACCAGGGCCTTGTTTAGATGTCATCCAAATTCTAAATTTTTTCAATCTCTCTTCATCACATTAATTTTTAGCCGCTTGCATGGAGTATTAAATGTAGGTAAAAAAAATAACTAATTACACAGTTTAGTTGAAAATCACGAGATGAATCTTTTGAACCTAGTTGGTCCACGATTAGACAATATTTGTCAAATAAGACGAAAGTGGTACTATTCATCGGGTTTAAAATTTTTTATAAAGAGAACAAGGCCCAGGTTGATTTATGGTTCTTCAGAGATGGAACAACCCAAACCCAGGTTGATTTATCGCTCTTTATTTCGGCGTTCTGAACTAGTAGCAGTATTTTCGTGGTCCACTTTTACTTGAACTTGTTAGTCTGAAGTCTGAACCTTCGTTCGTGTGCATGGACAAGTTTAAAATCCTACTCTTGTGATTTTTTTTTTCAGCAACTTGCTCTTGTGCTTTTTCTAGCGATTTTTGTTACATTATTTGTCATATATATAAATGTCATATCTCTTGGGATAAACGCCGACTGGATAGCGCAGCCGGACTTGGAAACCTGAGAATTGGGCAACCTGTACGGTGGACAAAACTGTAAACGATATGTAGCATGTGAGAGGAATCAGTGGGCTGGTCGGCAGGACTGAAAGATAAGTCAAAATACTGTTCCGGCTGATTGGTGTGAAAAAAAAATTATTCTGTCTAAAAACACTGTTCATGTAAACAGTGTTTTCGTGAGTGGGCTAGCCAGCCCAGCCGAAGCAGGCCAGCCAGCCAAACGCGGCGCAGAAGTCTTACCCTCCTCATTATTTGGGAAGAATGCCATACTAGTTTAGAAGCCGCAAAAACTTCAGCTTTGAACCTAATGTCTTTGCGTAGGCCTAGCTAGAGATGATGGTAGTCGCGTGAGTAATTAGCTTAGCTGAACATATGTAGCATGTGAGGGAGCAGTGACCACGCTCAGGATTTTTTATTTTAACATTTTTTGTAAACTAATTTTAAATTTAACACTGTTTTTTTTTCAAAACTAATATTTTTGGCCACGCCTATTGCCATGGGTGCATGGTGCGCGCGGCGAGAGGGGTGACGTGGCGACGACCGGGGCTCTAACCGGTGATGTGGAGGGTCTGCCGCGCCAGCGCGGCACTGACGCGCTATAGCCCACGGCGCGGCAGGACCTGAACGCAGACAGAAGACCAGCCTCAATTGCAATTGAACGAGAACTGCTGTCAGTGAGGATCGGTAGCGATGCGACCATGGACCCTGGCTTCGCTTCGCAATTGAACAACACCTGCAGCTCTGACCCCAACGCCTTCGCCTTCCTCGACCTCTTGCCAGTGGGCTTCGACAACGCCTTTTACCAGAACCTGTAGGTCGGCAAGGGCCACCTGGGCTCCGACCAGGTGCTCTACTCGACATGAGGTCGCGCAGCACGGTCGACTACTACGCGTCCAACCAGGATGCTTTCTTCGGCGATTTCGTGGCGGCGATGACCAAGCTCAGGAGGATCGGGGTCAAGACACCGGCCATCGGTGGCGATATACGCCGGGACTGCTGGTTCCCGAACACTGTTGCTAGTTAATCTCGTCGGCAGTGCTGCCGCGACGCATTGAAACGAATATGAAGCAAATAAATGGAGTCCGTGCGCAAGTTGACAAGTTGCCACATAATATTTGTTCGACATAAGTTTCGGACGACAATATTTGTTCGACATAACCAAGTAAGTCCTAGGAGTGTAAGGATCCCTCGGACGCCTCTGTCTCTTCGAATTTGTAGGCAACACATTGAGAGTGTAGCCAACGTCGGTGTGGTCGCGTTGCCGGTGCGTATGGCGCGTACCCTGTAAGTATATGATATGCACAATTACTTATAATATGTATGATCGTTAGTTCATGGAGCCTATGTATTTAAAGAAACTACCTTTGTTACTACCTGTGAGGCTCCTTGGGTACCAAGCGGGGCACCACCTAGCTGAGACATGCCGATCTCGTCCTGCTGCCAATCATTCCACTGGTGGTGCTGTATGCGGAAGCCCGGGGGGTCGTCGTCGTCATCGTCGTCGTCGTCGTCGTCCTCGTTTGCAGGGTCCTTCCCAGCGCTATGATGTGGTGGTGTACACACTGCGGAAGCGGCACTTGTCACCGGCTGAGAAGAGCCGGCTGGTGTCCTCAAAGAGCCAGAAGACGTGCCACCCGACTGCGCCGGGTAATCGGGTTCCACCCAAGGAGTGTCCATGCAGCTCATCTTCTGAGCTAGCTTCCTGCAGCTCTTCTTCACCTTCTGCATAAATAGACGTTAAAGTTAGTGCATTTCCCAAACGCATATACACTAAAGAAATATTTTCGGAATGGACAAGTTTAGGTTTACCTCCACAAAAGCCTCGAGAACGCCTGGCCCCTGCCCTCTAGACTCGTGAAGCCGAAACGCTGCTTCGTTGGACAGCCTTGACAATTGTGTCGCATGGGTACAGAAACACGGTTGGACAGTTTTAGTACACATATTTAATACCAAATGGATAACAAATTGTACCATTCGAGTATCTTACCACGTATCTTTGAAGCGGGGCTCTCTGTAGTTGTGTGTCGTCCCTAGTGGCAACGTCGTACACATCTTCGATCACATCTTCCTCGACGCCTCGTCAATCGCCTCCTCAGTGTACGGGGGCTTGATATGTGTTCTCGTAGACCTATGAAGCCACCGCAGGTACTTGTTGAAGGTGTGCTGGTCGTGTGGGGGACCCACATCGATCGACTGCCGGTCCCTGGTCTACCACAACTGGATGTACGCGTTGTGTGTCACGTGCCAATCCTTGGTCTTGTACCTCTTCCTACGGTCATACCTGTAACAAAACGATTGTTAATTGTACCATACACACCTCTGAATTGTAGCTTTGTTATTAATTGATAACGCACCCGTGCAATTCTTGGTTGGTGAAGTAAAGCGGTGATGTGTAGCCTGTCATTCTTCCAAACTGCCTGCAAACCCTGATGGGCAAGTGAATCTCGACCACGTGGAAGAAAATAAGAGGGACGTTGCAGCGATACTCGTCTGACTCATCCCTAGTGATAGGACTCAGATAGTACTGGAGCTCCAGAGCATCCCAAGGACACCAATGCACCTGAACATTTCGTAATTGAGTTAGGTTGTGATATAGTGTACATCGAACAAGACATATGTATGATAGTAAAGAGAGCGTAACATGGTGCTGTGTTAGGACGTCAAGACAATCCGTGTACTCCATGTCCTTGCGCCTCGTATTCCCTCTAACTAACTCTGCTTGCGTCTAGATATATAGAGCTGTAGGGAGTGTATCCTGCCCGTTCCAATACTGCATTGAACACGATAATGAATTATCCATTAATAATTTCATCATATGTAACTGCCTCGAAGAATATAGTGAACCAAAATACTTACCGGTAAACCAGTAACAAGGGGCCTCCCAATGGGTCATCGTTTCCAACACCAAACCTGGAGTAGGTAGCAGCAACCCCTAAGGTTCGCATACCCTGAGGTGCGACGGCAGGCAACGCATAGCTGTCAATACGTCCATACCAGGACTACGCTGCCCCAACTGTATGCCGCTATGTTATCCCACGGCTAGCGTAGTATGTCAAGAAAGATCCAGCTGATGTTGTTGCCCGAGGCATCTGGGAATTAGAAAGCACCAAGGAAGTGCCAGAGCCACACTCTAGCGAACCTGTCGATCTGAGCCTCATCAGCCTGTGGGTCTAAGTAATCAAAGCGCTCTGTGATCCACGATGACGAAACGCCGGAACTTTTCCTAAAATTTACCAAAGAAAATGAGACCCGATGGCTGTAGAAAAGTAATGCAAGTATTAAATAGGCTTCCATTGCTCACTTATTTTTCTTGGAAACCTCGTCGTCCGGTGGAAGAAAGCCAGTGAACTGAGCCACCAACTCCCTCCAGTGATTGTTGTCAACTATACCTGTCACTGGAAGTCCCCCCAATCGAAGGCCAAAGATAACCTTCATGTATTGCATGGTCAAGGTCATCTCGCTGCAAGGTAGGTGGAACGTGTGGGTCTTAGGCCTCCACCTGTTATAAGAATAGAACGACTGTTAGTTACCTCAAATTTGTTATAAGAATGTTTACGTACAATAAAGGCACTCGCACCTATCTATAGCTGTAGTAAGTAGTGTTGAGTTAAGGGGCGAAAGACCATAGTTGACAACTCGAGGAAGCCGGCACGCCATATGTACGGCGCGTAACGCTCGTCCTACTGGTGCGCCCTGGTGTGCGTGCGGGGCCTCAAAAGAGGTAAGGGCACCTCTGCGTCGGTGTCAGTCAAGAAGTGTGCTCGGTGCGGCTCGTCGTACTCCACCTCAAGAAGGGGGTACAACGGGTGCTGCGTGGGAGGGGCCATTCTGTTATAAATTGATAAACAAAGTGTTAGAGTATTCAAATTAACAATATTCAAATTAACATTATGTAGCATTGCAAAATTTAAACTACTTGTTATGCAATACGAACACAATATGAAATCACATGTATATATTCAAAGGAACATTAACAGACATATTAAACAACTTTACTAGGAAAATAAGCAACTTCTATGTATGGACCTGGTGCCCTCATCTTCTATGCCTACGGGCGTCCCTAGCGCGGCGGGCGTCCGTGGCGCGGAGACCACGCGCGCACATAGCAGGGCGACGGCGTGGCTCCCTTTTGTGGCCGCCGGTGAACTCGTGAAGGAGCCCGACGGTGCCATCTTAGTTCTTAAGATAAGTGAAAAGCGTTTTACTGATCTTAGGGTTGGGGATTGTTACCGGATTTGGGTAATTTGCATTCCTAGGGTTCGTATTTGGGCAAAAACTAGAGCTTAGTGTTGAAGTTGATTCGACTCCCGTCCTTCTCGGTGCTTAAGCGAAACCCTATATTCTGATTTGTCTTAAAGAACTTTGAATCGGACAAATCTGAGGCTATTTAGCTCTTAACCAAACACTAATTAGGTCTTAGAGTTC